GGGGGGGGGGGGTTCTATTAAAAAAACCAAAAAAAAGTCAATTGTTTTTATTTATGGAAACAGTCGTTAATTTTTTAATTCGTTCGGGCCCTCCTTGTGTCCCGCAGTTGGCCGAGCTGAAGCAGGAGTGCCTGGCCCGTGGCCTGGAGGCGAAGGGCAACAAGCAGGATCTCATCAACAGGCTCCAGGCGTATCTGGAGGAGCACGGTGGGTGCTGGGGGGGGGTCTCTGGGGTGGGGGATCACAGAATCATCACAGAATCATAGAATTGCCCAGGCTCGAAGGGACCTCCAAAGGGCATCCCGTCCCACCCCCCCGCAGTCAGCAGGGACACCCCCAACTAGACCAGGTTGCCCCATCGAGCCTCCCCTTGAATATCTCCAGGGAAGGGGCCTCAACCACCTCCCTGGGCAACCTGTCCCAGTGCTCCACCACCCTCCCAGTGAAGAACCCTCTCCTCATCTCCAGTCTCAATCTGTTCCCCTCCAGCTTGAAGCCATTGCCCCTCGTCCTGTCACTGCAGCCCTTTCTAAACAGGCTCTCCCCAGCCTTCCTGTAGCCCCCCCTCAGGTACTGGAAGGCTGCTCTTAGGTCTCCCCGGAGCCTCCTCTTCTCCAGGCTGAACAACCCCAGCTCCCTCAGCCTGTCCTCGCAGCAGAGGTGCTCCATCCCCCTCATCATCCTCGTGGCCCTCCTCTGGACCCTCTCCATCAGGTCCATGTCCTTCTTCTATTGAGGGCTCCAGCCCTGCACACAAGACTCCAGGTGAGGTCTCACCAGAGCAGAGTCAAGTGGCAGAATCCCCTCTCTGGACCTGCTGGCAACGCAGCTTTTGATGCAGCCCAGGATGGGATTGGCCTTCTGGGCTGTGAGTGCCCACTGCCTGCTCATGTCCCCCCCGGGGGAGAGGGGAGCCCCCCTCCGTGAGGCTCACAGTAAGACCCCGTGGCCTGTTGCCCACCCCAGAGCTCTTGTGGGTCGGGGAACGGCACCCGCTTTGGGTAAAACGTTGTGTAAAATATCTGGAGTGCCTGCAAAAAGGACAAGAGGAACTGGCCCCTGGCTCCAGGGGAGGTTTGGGATGGATCTTAAGGAAAATTTTGTAGAATCATAAAATGGTTTGGGTTGGAAGGACCTCAAAGATCATCGATTTCCACCCCCCTGCCCTGGGCAGGGACACCTCCCACCAGAGCAGGTTGCTCAAGGCCCCATCCAGCCTGGCCTTGAACCCCTCCAGGGATGGGGCAGCCACAACTTCCCTGTTCCAGTGTCTCACTACCCTCATAGTAAAAAATTTCTTCCTGAGATCTAATCTGAATCTTTTTTCTTCCAATTTCAAACCGTTTCCCCTTGTCCTATCATTACCCTTCCTGGCAAAGAGTCCCTCCCCAGCTCTTCTATAGGCACCTTCAGGTATTGAAAGGCTGCTCTAAGGTCTCCCCGGAGCCTCCTCTTCTCCAGGCTGAACAACCCCAGCTCCCTCAGCCTGTCTCCATAGCAGAGGTGCTCCATCCCTCTCATCATCTCCATGGCCCACCTTTTCCAGCCGGTCCATGTCCTTTCTGTGTTGAGGACTCCAAAGCTGGACACAGTTATTCCAGGTGGGGTCTCAAGAGTGCAGAGCACCCCCAAGTCCTTCTCCTCAGGGCTGCTCTCCAGCCCATCATCTCCCCCCAACCTGGATTTGTGCCTGGGGTTGCCACGTCCCAGGCAATTTCTTCTTCCCCCTGAAAGGGTTTTTCAGCATTGGAGGGGGCAGGGATGGAGTCCCCCGTCCCTGGAGGTGTTTAAGGGCCGGGCGGACGCGGTGCTGAGGGACGTGGGGGGTTTGGGCAGGGCTGGGTTGGTGGTTGGACTCCGCCATCTTAACGGTCCCTTCCAACCTTGACGATTCTCTGATCCTAAAATTGATATCCTCAAGTGACTCCCTGAAACCTTTAGATAGGAACCTTCAGAAAGAAAAGGGGAAAATCTGGAAAAATCTGCCCAAATGCCCACGTGTCAACAATTTAACACGAGGGGACGGGATGTGTTGTCACACGCCTCATCTTGGGTCTGCTCTGACCAGTCTGGGCTCCCACCCTGGGATGGGAAATGTTTCCCTCTCCTCTTACTGGGTAGACTGGAAATGTAAGAAAATAACTATGGCCCAGGTTGGCCAGAGAAGCTGTGGCTCCTCCATCCCTGGAGGGGTTCAAGGCCAAGGTTGGAGGGGGCTTTGGGCAACCTGGGCTGGTGGGAGGTGTCCCTTCCATTAGAAGGGATGGAACTGGATGAGCTTTAAGGTTCCTTCCAACCCAAAATGTTCTGGGATTCTACGGTGATTCCACCACTTCCCTGGGTTGGAAGAGACCTTGAAACTCATCAAGGCCAACCATCAACCCACCACCACCCAACAGCACCCTTAGATCCCTCCAGGGACGGTGTTTGGGGAACTGGAGCCATTGGATGAGTGGGAAGAGTTTTCAACCAAAAATTAGGAGATTTAGGTGAGATCCGGGGAGGAAATTCCTCCCCCTGAGGGTGGTGGCCCAGGTTGCCCAGAGAAGCTGTGGCTGCCTCGTCCCTGGAGGGGTTCAAGGGCAGGTTGGAGGGGGCTTGAAGCAACCTGGGCTGGTGGGAGGTGTCCATAGGGCAGGGGGTGGCACTGGGGGGGCTTTAAGGTCCCTTCCCACCCAAACCATTCCCTGATTCCAGCTGCTTCCCGCTTTCCCCAGTGACATTCTCACAGCAGGCTTTCCCCCAGCAGCCAGAGGTATCCCTGAAGTCATTCCATGTTGTTTTCTCCTCCAGCTGAAGAAGAAGCGAATGAAGAAGATGTTCTGGGAGAGGAGATCGAGGTGGGTGTTCCTGGGGGGTGCAGCCTCCGTGGGGATCCCCTCTTTGCCTGGTGGTGAGCTCTCTGTGGGGATGGAGGCAGAACCCGGGGTCGTGTCTTATTTTGAAGCCCCTTTTCCTTCCTTGTTGGGTCTAAACCCTCAATTTTTCACTGCAAAGCTCGCGGGGGCTGCGTCAGGGTCTCTGGTGGGGTGTAACCCTGGTGCTGCTCCTGTGGGAGCCAGTTTTGGAGCAGGTTCTGAGTGGGGTGAGGATGATCCCACTCAGGAAAAGCGCTTTGTGCCCAAAACACCAGCAGAAACCAATTCTCCAGGTGTCCAGGCTCTGCTGCTCGGCGAGGAGGGGGGTGGGAGGTGGAAGCTTTCTCCCCAGCCTCACAAAAAGTCCTTGGGGGGAGGTGAGGAGGCTCAGACTGGGTGGGCACTGGGCACTGAGCAGTTTCCATCTCCTTTGGCTGCGCTCTCGAGCTGGAGAACATCTCAGTCCCATTATTTGGGTGTCTATTTTTGTCAGTTGGGTGTCTATTTTTGTCAGTTGGGTGTCTATTTTTGTCAGTTGGGTGTCTATTTTTGTCAGTCAGGTTGATGGTTGGACAAGATGATCTTTAAGGTCCCTTCCAACCCAGAAGATTCTGTGATTCTGTGATTTCCTGGGCTTCCTGAAGCCCAGACTTTCTGGTGAGGGCTTGGACTTCGGATAAGAGTCTGTGGCCCTTCAAGACCTGCCGGGCTGGGGGTGCACAGTGTTGCTCCTCACCTTTTTGGGCCAAGTTGAGTGCAGGGTGACAGGAGCCTGGCTCTAAAAGCACTGAGAACCCCAAATGACCCCACAACGTCCCCTCTGTGGGTTTCCCTCTCGCTCAGCAGTTTGGTGTCTGACCTTCTCTCCCAACTCCTTCCCCTGCAGGAGGAAGAGCAGAAGCCGGCGGAGCCGCCCGTCAAAGTGGAAGAGCCTCCTGTAAAATCGCCCGACGTGTAACTATCCTTTCTGAGTAGAAAAAGGCAAATTTGGGGGGGGAGTGAGGGGTGGGGAAGGGCTTTTTCCCCCAGCCCCCCGGGTGGGCTTTTTCCCCCAGCCCCCCGTGGGGGCTTTTTCCCCCAGCCCCGGGGGGCTTCCTACAGCCCT